GCCCAAAAAAAAAAAAAAAAAAAAAAAATTTTACATAAATAACCTATCTTAAATAAAACCTAATCGACACTACAAAAAGGAAAATAAAATTAAAATTAAACTACAATAGAGACGATGCCCCAATCATATGCTAAGTTTAATGTCTCTAGCTAGACGTAATGCCACTTTTTAGCCACTATCTAACAACTCGAGTACCTCCTTCATGTTCGGATTTAACCACCTTTGTGCTACTCGTGAAGGTTTAGAGTCTTCTTCCAAGAAAATCCAATGCATACACACCGAGGGATCAATCCCTTTGAGATCAGCCACGCTCCAGCCAATAGCTTCTCAATGAGTGGCCAGTACCACCAATAATTTCTCCTCTTATATGTGTGATAACTCTGCTGAAATAATTATTGGAAGAGTATTTTCTGGCCTAAGAAATGCATATTTCATATGAGAGGGCAATGGCTTCAACTCTAGCTCTGGGGGTGTGATACCCCTCGGATCCGAGACACGGGTTAATCAGGCCCAGGCCCAAACCCGAGGGAATACCAAACAATTAATATTTAACAAACACATAATACAAATTAAAATTATAATAAAACTAAATAATAAATGGCGGAAATGAATTTTAATTGAAAATCCTCAAAATATAATTATTAAAACCCAAGCTCCAAAATAACTTCATTAAGTTAACAACTCTGGAATCCCTCAAATGGACCCCTAAAACAAAACTTAAACTGGAAAGGAAATAACTGTAATCCAAATCCAGAGCTAAATAAGATAGTAGTCCTACGTAGTCGGAGGAATAGAAGTCCGTATCTACTCTGCACGATTAAGCTCTAACCCTGGAACTAACGAGCACCTGAAAAATAGGAGAGTGGGTCAGGCCCACATGCAAGTCCTATTCTACTACGATCCAAATAGGAATCTGATACGCAGATACATCCTAGATAGACTTAACAATATCTAGAGTAGTTCATATATGTATAAGTACATATTATAAGACGCTCACTAGTCCAATAGGTCTGTCTCAGCTTGAGTAGAGATACCATACAAATCGCACATAATGTGGTCATGTGTACCTAGACCTACCAGGGAACAGCAACTACTGTCCACCTATCCATCCTAGGCAATATACGCAACCTAACCATGGTCCTGAGACTCAAGCTCATACCATGGCACCATAACATAAATATATAAAGTCCGTGTCCTCCTAATACAAGATATCATCCAACTGGTATATGGCTTGATATATGTATAACAATCCATCCTAGAAAACCAAGTTATGTCATTTGGTGATTTATTGACCTGACACCAATAGAAGTCGGACTTAACTTTTATTGTTAATCCGAACCTCAATCCATATTAGGTAGGCTTAGTGTCTGAGCTAAACCTTACCTAGTATGCCACCGTCCCATACCGATGCATACAATCCTCCAGTTAACATAGTTGACTAAACAATATAAACATTCATCAACCATATCCCAAAATAAGCATAAATTTAGTTTAACATGTGTATAACCAAATTATGCATCCAATATAAGATTTAGAAACCATATACTGGTCCTTGAAACTGATAAAGTTAAATTACGAAAACAACTCCTCCAAACAGTACCATAACTGATGTAATGTATAACAGGCTTCAACATTAGTTAATTCCATCCAAGCAGACATATATTTAAACAATTATATGCACATATCATAACTAAAACATGATTCATAATTTAAGATCGTGCTGAGAAATAAAAATTGCTAAAACAGTAGGCAATTTAAGTTATTTATCCAATCTTCCATATACGGGTTCATTGGTTAACCATAAGTTAATTCCATCCTCCATATTTAAATGTAAACATGCTTCCCAACATTTTTATAAGTCTTTAGCAATGAATTACACCATCCAGTAGCCTTTAAACAGTTTTAGAAAAACCCAGTTCAGCCAAACAGACCTTAAAAAAATAGTTTTTACGCTTTTTAAAGGAGAGAGCAGGCTCTTAAACTTAAGAGGCTGCTCTGTTACAAGGAGGGCCGGCTTCCCACCCTTGGGAGCCAGCTCTAGGCTGTTGAGAGCCGGCTCTCAACCTTAGAGAGCCGGCTCTAGCTTGGTGGGAGCAGGCTCCCTCCCTTTTTGGAGCCTAGTCTCACCTCTAAGAGCCGTAGTCCATTCTCAGTCTTCTTCCTCGCCTCCGGTAGTACTTGCAGTCTCTGTAGTAATTTTTATTACATGTTTTAATGTCCATCCTAGTTCCAGTTTGATCATTAGACCATAATATACAACCAAAACTTAAATTGAAATATAAGTTTGCAAGCAACGGCAGCAAGATTTTAGACTGAACTTTTAAAACAACTCAGAACAGATTATTTCAATGGAATTACATAATGATTAAAGATGCATCAAAGATGTATTTTAGCTTTATTTTAATCCCTAGAGTCTACCTAGGCATGCACAGAACATAGATTAAAGGGAAAGAGTAGAACAGAGACTTGCCTTGAGTTTCAGTCTTAAAACTCTAATCCACAGTCTCTGAATTTTCTGACGAAATCCCCGACTGATGTTCCACCTCTATTGCTCTTGGTTTCACCTACGAACAACTCCTCCTTCCTCCTCCGTGGTCCAACCTTAGTCTAGACCAAAACCTAGCCTTCCTCTCCTATATTTCTCTGTGTTGCTCTGTATCTCACCGTCTCTCTGTTTTTCAGAATTATGCTTACGTTTCTAAAACCCTAACCACTGTAATAACAATATTTATAGGCTTAAAACACTAAACCCTAATCCTTGTTTAATTAGAGCCAGAGCCCTAATGTAAAATCCTAGTCGGCCCATAGATATAACACCCTAAGTTAATCCATGTCGGCTACACTTACTGACTTCTTAGAGAATCATAAGTAACTAACGTATTGTTTTAAAAAACTCATTCAACTTATTTTACATTATTAAATAATTACATCAAATAATTTAAGTCAATTAAATCAAAGAATGCAATTAAATCAAATAAGCTAATTAATTCAAATAATTAATTAAATCCAATAATTCAATTAATTCAAGTAATTAACTAAATCAAATAAATCAATTAATTCAAGTAATCAATTAAATCAAATAAAACAATTAACTCAAATAACCAAGCAACAAAACAATTAAATAATTAAAAAAATGCAACAAAATACTAAATTAAAATACCAATACTATCCTTTTAAAATTAGGGGTATTACAGGGGGAGACTCCAAAGATGGTATAGGTGGTTCACTTGACAATGGTGGAAGTGGCTCAATAGAAATCTTCCATGGTGGAATGTTGTGCATATTGGCTATATCAAGCATGGAATTCACCTCTTTAATGTTTTTCTCAACATCAAATGACTCGGCATCAAAGTAAGATAGGCATGCTTCCAGTGGATGTTTTGTTAAGGTAAATGGAGTCATCTCTTCAACACATTCATTGATGTCATCGACAAGAAAACAATTACTATTGTTTGAAGGGCATTGATTGTCATTGAAAATATTTAAACGAACCTTCATATTGCCAAAAGATAAGTCCATGACGTTAATCCTATAATTTATGCATGCATTTGCTATCGCAAGGAAAGGACAACCAATGATCATTGGAATGTGCCTCCTTGGCTCTGGAACTGGCTCGATATCTAGCACAATAAAATCCACCAGGAAGTAGAATTTATCTACTTTGATGATCACATCTTCGATGATCCCACAAGACTGCTTGGTTGACCTATCTACTAATTGGAGAATAATTGAGGTAGACTTCAATTCTCCTAATCCAAGTTGCAAGTAAACCGAATAAGGAAGAAGGTTTACACTTGCACCCAAATTTAGAAGGGCTCGCTCCCTTTAGACTTGTATGCTTTCTTAGGATACTCATAGTTAGCTCTCTTAGGAGGAACTTGGGGTAGAAAAATGCAAGCGCAACAGAGTTAATGAGAAAAATAATATAAATTTTAAGAAAACAAAAATAACAAAAAAAATTCTCTAAGCTCCAATTTAATTATTTCATTCATGTTGATATGAATAAAATGAAGAAATTTTATTATCTATATATATATAATAATATATTATTTTATTATTTTTTGACTTATTTATACTGTATTCATGTCCTATTTTTTTTTTAAAAAATGGTTTTATCTGTATCCATACTTTCGAAGTCAAGAGTTTGGATCCCCTGAGGCCTAGCAATGGATTATGAGGCATTCTAAGATACCCGACACAACCACCGTCCAAAAAAAAAAAAAAAATTGACATCGCAAAACCAACAACATACTTATTTCTACAATGTCGTCGTCCGAAGAGGTACCTAAAAGAATTGGATTGGCTTGGTTTAGGGTGTATTACCTCAAAGCAATGGCAATGAATGCAATATGACAACATCTACCTATATGTTTATCTTTTGTTTTTTTATATTCAATTGAACAAACTAGGAAGGAAAAGAACAACCAGAACTAGTTTGTTAAGTGCCCAAAAAGAATGCAGCTTTCTTATTTGTGGTTGATAATCCACACCATGTCTGAATCTCTCCGGCACCACCTAACACACCAAGATCTTCCCATCTGAATTCAGAATAGCTGGAGGATAATAATATGGCAAGAAACCAAACCTAATTTCCACACCACCTTAACCCTAATCTCGTTTCCGAGAGAGAAAATCGCAATCCGCGTCCTCCCCCTCAGCCTGAGCACCGTCCCTTCCAGCTATAAGCAACCCTCATCAGAAGAATTCCCTTTGACACTTCAGTTCAAGTGACATCTCACTTCTTCTTCAAAAAAGGTTCGTAGATAAATAATAATACATTACGTACCAAAACAGTAAATTATAATAAAAACTCTATATTGGTGCTTTTGACTCAACATTTCCCTTCAAACTAAAGTTGAAGTTCAGAATGAAACATATCAGCATAGGTATATATCATTTAGATAACCGAACTAGGGGCTGTCTTCCTAAAGGAAGTGGACAACTAAATCAGTGAGCATAACAATCCAGTACAAACATAACAACATTATGACAGCATCATATTTCCAAACCAAAAAAAAATCGAGGAAATTACATTATACTAAACGCGATAATTCAGCACAAATATTACACCTTATAGAAGATTTGTACCAATCACATCACAGTTTTTTTCAAAAAGGAACCAACACAAAAGAGGTGGCAAAGACTGGGCATGAAAAGATGACAAAAACCTCAAAGAAACTGCACCGAAACTTACAAGGGACAAGTTCTATCGAATACTTTGGTCATCTCTTTGAATACACAACTTAATATGCCTCAAGCTTAATGGTCGTGATATATTCAGTCAGGGAGTATTTGCTCATTGTCTGCATCTCCTTCTTGCTCAATTGTAGGCTTGGATGGACCTTGGCCAGCTCCCGGAGCTTGCTTCTTCTTGATTCCACTTACAATATCATCAATCCTAAGAAGCATGCAAGCAGCCTCAATGGCTGTCTTAAAGGTTTGTGCCTTCACATTATAAGCATCCCAGATCTAATAAGATGAGAAAACATCCACACACTTAGTAACATGCACCATACAGCATTCATATATATATAAATAAGATGTCAAGGCCCAAGTACCAACCAGCAAGTGAATAAGAAAAAATAAAAAAAGGAAACGTAATACCTTTCGCTCTTGCATGTCCGTAATTGCACCAGTATTCCCATCTATTCCAATCCATGCATTTTCTCCATTTGCATGCTGCAGAAGAATAACAATATATATATCTAACATAAATAAATAAGCTCATTGAACATCCAATTTCGAGATGGAAGGCTAGGATGTCATTAGTTTTTAATCACTATTTTAAAATAAAACTAATGGCATTCAAGAGCATACTTATATCACCATGTTAAAGTAAAACATGCAGAAATATATAAGAAAATAAATGGATGGGAATCTTGCCTTCCCCTGCAGGGCAGTCATAGTCCTAATTACATTGACCCCACAATTCTGTGCCAAAGTTCGCGGTATAGCCTCAAAAGCTACTGCAGCAGCTTCATAAGGCCACTGTTTCACAGCCAAATAAAAACTTGGACATAAAATAAATAAATAAATACAAACGAATGGTAAATAAACCACACTCCGGTTACTAAATATCTACATAAAAAATTTTGATCAATGAATTTATTAACCTCAATCAGAAGAGAAGCACATGAAATAATATCTACCTTTTCAATGCCTTCAATAGATGAACTCTTCTGTTTCAGCGTAGCGGACACAGTTAACTCTGTAGCACCACCACCAGGAACAAGTTTTGGATTCTTAATGATGTTTCTCGCCACAGACATAGCATCCTATGAAAAACAGAGAAGCTTCAGCAACCCATTAATCCAAATTCATGAGAAACTTTTGAGTATCATTTAAAAAATCATACCTGCAAGTTTCTTTCCACTTCATTCAGAAGATCCTTACTAGCACCTCGTAAAAGAACGGTGCATGCTTTTGGGTCTCTGCATTCAACGATGAATGTAAAGAATTCGTCTCCAATTTTTTTAACCTCAAAAAGTCCAGCCCCAGTTCCTATGTCTGATTCTTGAAGTTCATCTGGTCTATTTACAATGACAGCCCCACATGCTTTGGCAATTCTGTTGTTGTCTGTCTTCCTCAATCTCCTGATCGCGCTGACTCCAGCTTTACTAAAGTAATGGCATGCCAGATCACTAAGCCCTTTTTCTGTTATGACCAAGCCAGGTTTAAACTTCAGTATTTGTGTGCAAAGATTCTCAATGTATTCTTCCTCCATTTTTAGAAGGACTCCCCAGTCTTCTTCTCTGATCAGCTCTGCATTTGTTTGATTCTCCCCTTTTTTATACTCAAGAGGGCAATCAAGTAAAATGATACGAGGATTGACAATTTTTCTTCTCATTTTTCCAGGTGCAACAACATCTTTGTTAAACATAACACCTTTAAGAACCTTAGAATCTTCCAACTGGCCGCCAGGAACTTTCTCAACTTTTATGTACTTCTTAATGTCCACTTCTCGCAGTCCTTGACCAAGGTCCACACCAACAGTTGTTGTAGCATCAAGTGCTAACTCCTGAGTTGACCATAGAGAACCAATAAGAGATCAAATGCACCTTATGATTAGAGACCAATTTGATATATGCATACAAACATACATATATATATATATAGGGGCCACTGCTTCATGCACTGCCAGAATACCAAGGTTATGGCAGTATCTGGTCTTTCAATCCCCAGCACCCCGCAAGGCAGTACCAGCACTGTAATGGCCTCTTATAATAACATAATGTAAGGTCAGAGAACAAGAAAGCATATCACAAAATCAAACAATCTATGGACAAATTCGAAAAGATTTCAGCCACTTGGACACATTAACCAACACCACAAAGCGTCAATAAAAATGGGCTTTTTTTAAGATACTTCTTGTTAAAAACAGAGGCGTCAATAGAAATGGGCTTTCTCTTTAAATATTGTAGTAAAAAATGAATGTTTAACCTTCATGAGAATAACATATAAGGACCTCGGAATCAAAATTGATAGAGAATACTTACAGCAATTAGATCCCCAAATTGACTAGTAAATTTTGTGCCGATACAACTCTTCACTAACCCCATCATTGTTACCCCTGTCAAAGGAAGCAGGAAATTATTTCCACAACAGTTCGCAAAATGAGGAGAAAAAATACAAGAAAAATTAAACTTTCATTTGATTACAGTAAGAGTTCAACATTTGTAGAATAGATTGATATCACCTTTCAATTTTCAGTATTTCAGATATTTCCATTAATCAGAAGATATCAACATACCTTCCCATTATTATGCTTTACTATCCAATGACTTACAAGCTCAATCATTAAGTGAAAAATAGAACCACATTTTAGCATCAAAATTGATATACAAGGAACAATTCCTAAGAAAACAGTCCATGGAGGAATATAATCATGTCAGATGTATTAAAGAATCAAATATCAAACAAGTACTTAGTACTGTCATAACTTACGGTCATTCACATCAATAGGCATAGCAATCTTGTCAAGAGCAGCAATAGCATCCTCAAGAGCTTTATTGTAAGCTGAAAAAAAACAAATTAATATTAAAGACTTAAAGTCAATGGAAATAAAATAAAAAAGAGTAAAAATAAAAAATAAAAATTCACCAAGAAGCACCTTCCAGAGAACTGAAATATTACCTCGGCAAATGACTGTAGGATGATATTTCTTGTCAATGAAAGCTTCAGCAACGTGAAGCATCTCACCAGCTAGAACAAATGTTCGCGTTAACAATCAGTAGTGAATAGAATGATACATCTTTGAAACTTAACAACATTTCAAACTTATGGTTCATGCCATCCCCTTGTTAAAAAATGGATTTGGTTAACAGAGACCATTTTAATTTTAATTATTTATTTTTTAATGCAATGGTAAAAGCTTGGGCAGACAACAATGAGAAATGCTAGTTCGAGTCCCATATCAGGCACCCTTTAAAACTACTGTGATACAGGATAAATCAGAATTCAACCAACACCACACAAAGCCAGGACCAATATCAGGTCAAATACAGTAAAGCATATGCAAAAAGGAGCTTATAGAGTAGGCAGCAACAAGTATGTTGCCTGCCATGAGCCAGACAATATCATTTTACAGACAGAATCAAGAACCCATACCCATGAGACATTCAACCATCAAATACATCTTAACAGTAAAACAATAAATCTGTCTCAAGGTACCCCAATGATCTTAAAATATAAAGCAAGGTTTAATCTGTTGCCACATCAAAAGATAGTAGACAAGGGCATACCAAGAATAATGACTGAAGTCGTCCCATCACCTACTTCTTCGTCCTGTGTGCGACTTAATTCAATCATAGACTGCATCTCATATAGAAAGGCAACAGTTAGAAACAATGAAGTTTTATAAATAAATAAATAAATAATGAAACCACCAACAGGTCAAATACAATATATATATATATATATATATTAAATAAAGGGAAGACGAGAATTTTTTTTTTTTTAATTTTGGTTTAGATAAATACTCATACACACAACCCAAAATTGCCCATCATGGGGCTCGAACCCCTCACCACCCTCTTTGAGGGAGGAGAGGTTATACCAGCTGGGCTATGGCCCTTTGGTGGGAAGACAAGAATGTTGAGCTCAATAACATGTACCAAAACCCTAATGACAGGTATAGAATTTCAAAAGGCATTTTTAAAAATAAATAAAAAATAAAAAATAAAAAATAAAAAAAATAAAAAAAGGTAAAAGGTGAAAGGCAATCGAGAGAGAACAAAATGAGAATGAACCGTTGACATGCAAACCATAGTGAAGTCATATCTTCATTAAAAATGTGTTGCTTACCTTAGCAGCTGGGTGAGCAATATCTAACTCCCGCAGAATGGCGTTCCCATCATTAGTGACAACAATTCCTGTCAACAACCCGATAAATATCGATCACGATAACATAAAAGCGAAATAAGAGTAAAGAAACAAAGCAAGATCATGTATCAATAGCTAGAGGAAAGATTCATCTTTACAGGAAATTATTCATTTTTATTGCTGAAGATGTCTGGTGTCTCATCTCTGCAGCCAATATTTCTAATGATGAAGATGCTATAGTGTGGAAGAAAAGGAAGTGTTCTTTGTATTCTGTTTGGGATCATATTAGAATAAAGCAGCCTATAGTCCCATGGCATAAGCTTTGTACGGAACAGGGGAGACCAAGGGCCGCAGCTACAACCACTTTGATGATTTTGGACAAAGTTCCTACTCTTGTTAATTTGCAGAAAAGGGGGGATCCAAGTAGCACCAATCTGCCATAAGTGCATGGCAAATCATGACTCGGTCATATGTTTTGGGGCTGTTCATTTGCCCAGGAAGTGTGGAAGTAGATCTTTGTTTTTGCAGGGAGGATTGTCTTCTGTTTCTTCCTTTGATCAGTTGTTGCATTGGTGTGCTACTTCTTTCAGCTAGGCTTCAACCAGAAATTCTATAAACAGAATGTTCTTCACTGCAGTTGTTTGGGGGATTTGGAGAGCTAGAAATCAGAGATTGCATCAAGGAATTCTTCTTTTTTCTTCAGTTGCTAAGGAATCAAGAATTGTATTTGGAATGTTTTCTGCTTCTTCTGGCTTTATATTAGAGGAATGGCTTGAGTTGTAACATGGTTCTGGCTTAGCCCTGCTAGGGGGCCTTATCAGTGGCACCCTCTACCTCAAGATCTGCCTTTGTCCTTGGTTTTTAACTTTCATTTTTTGCTCTTATTGGAAATGGTTTTACTCAATTCCAAAGTTGTACGGTGAGGTAATGCCCTCACTTTAGCTTTTGTAGTTTAGTACTTTTCTTTTTGTTAACAACTAGATATCTACTCTAAAAGCTTAAGCTGTTAGAGAGGGTGTCACATTAATATTTATATCCTTTAACACGCCCCCTCACGTGTGGCCTCCCTTTTTGGTCCAGCAAATTTTTATTTTTATTTTTTCCAATTTTAATTACAGTGACAGTGAGGTTTGAAACTGAGACCTTTGGCTCTAATACCATGTTAACAACCATCTACTCCAAAAGCTTAAGCCGGTACAGAGGGTGTCACATTAGTATTTATATCCTCTAACACTTGTAATACAAATTTCAATTAGGGGAAAAAATTTTGATTTCCTTATTGTGAAATGAACACATACTTCCTTTACTCTGTCCTTAATGGAATTACTTCTGAAACAAGATTTTTAACGATTGTTGTGCAGGAAAAAATCTAAACAGGCCAATCATCTTTAGATCTATTGCTCATTCAACTTGGATATGTATGTTTTCTTAATCTAGACAGTGTTTGAATGCTTCTAGCCTTAATAAGGAAGTCCTTCCAGGTGGTAATTAAGGACATTGGAGTGTGCGGTGGGCACAGTAGTCTGTGCTTTATGAACGAGATAGAATTAGATGGCATAGTAGGATTAATAGTGTCGTTCTCAAATAGATCTGACAAGGATTTGTGGAGTTCGGTCAAGTTGATCTGAGTTCTTATTTTGATAACAATCAAGCATTTGTCCTCTAACGTATGCAACGAAAGAAGTTTAGTTTCAAGGGTATTGTAACATTTAATTATGTCATATAAACAAAAAATTAAAATACCTCCCGAAGCATCAAGTAACATCTTTAACATGGATCGTGGACCCAAGGTAGTGCGAATTATGTCAGCTACAGCCTGCAAAGAAATTAAAAGAAAATGTCAATTGATTGTGCAGTGCAGTGCAGTTCAGCAAGTATACCCAGACATGACAATTGCACAACTAATCAATATAATATTTGAACAAATATCCACAAAATGGAGTGAATGCAATGTTCTCATCATAATAGAGTTAGTTACCAGAATATATTATCGAGTACCATTATGAGAGCTGAAGACATTTGATTAAACGAAGTAATCCAATGTGTTACATATCAAAATTATTAACCATAACGTCTATACTGATTATTGCACATAATATTAAAGTCACATACAGCAAAATGAGAAAAATCACAAAAGAACATGAACAGAAATCATGAAAATAGATCCAAGTCATAGGCTTTACTTTTTCTTCCTTCTCTCTACCAGTCTTGAGATCTTGACTTATGCTTTGGAAATCAAGACCCAAAGCCACCAAGACAAAGGTAGACTGGAAAATCACATGCTTTTAACTAAAGGTATGCACTTCGACGGACCTGAAAAAGTTCAACAGAACCCAAGAGCTGGCTAGGAACAAACTCACTGAAATTACACTTTAGCTAGCATGTAAATAGACCTCGGGCACTAATGGACATTTGCCCAGATGGTACGATCTTTCTTCCTCTCCTAAAGGAAAGGTACGTACTCAAACCCTGCTAGGAAATATTATGTGCGGGTCTGTGCGTGTGGGGTGGGGGGGGGGGGGGGTTCGCGCGGGGAGGACCTCTGGTAACACATGACGTTTTCTGGGCTGGTCCGTTTCTTTTGGATTTTGAGGGGTTCAGTCTGCGTTCAGTGTGGGGCGCCACTCTCAACACATGGCGTGCTGTGATTGGTGACGCATTTTGCCTAGGTGTCGTGTTCTTACCGGTGGGGATTTTCCAGATCCACACCTTGCCCCCCCAATTCCATCTTATTTAAATGAGATGGAATTTTTAAAGTGGGGAGGTGAAAGGTTTGTCTACTTTTTGGATACAGTCGTAATCACGGATTTTTGGGGACACGTGAAATGCATACTTCATGGTGTTATGTCAAGGACATTATATATATGCTTTTCCTATCTAAATTTCCATCAGACAAAGACTACAGTATGATATATCAAGAAACAACATGATACTTCAAAATGAACATAATTTAACACATAACAAATAAATGAGCACCTCAGTGAAGCTAAACCTCACCTTTGAAGCTTGTATATTGGCATGGTGCACCTTGCTTCCAGATTCACGAGTCAAAGAATTTTCTATAAGAATTTCAATTAATATATGCCAATCAGCAAAATCAACATCTAATGTGCAAATAAATTAGAAACCAAAAATAACAGCGTGAAAGCTCGAGTGCATAAAAAAAAGAAAAAAGAAGATGGTATGTGAATTTTCATGAAAGGTTTTTATAGGATCAAAATCATAAAACTCTATACTCCCAACATGTGTGTGTGCGCGCGCAAACTATGTAGTCCCAACAAGTGTGTGCGCGCGCGCAAACTATGTAGTCCCAATGTGTGTGTGTGTGTCTCTGTGTGTGTATTTGTGTATTCTATGAACAGGAGGGAGATAAGAATAAAAAATAAAAAAATAAATAAAAATAAATAAAACACACACACACAACCAACTAGACATGGAACTTGAGATCTGAAATCACATTGACCATCTTTCAAGACTGAACAAGGAACATTGATGGTATCCACATGCCATTAAAAACCATTTTTAAATCCCATTGGCATAGGGCCTGAGCTATGAGATTTGACTTTGATGGAAGCATGACACACCAGCTAGGATGGAACCCCAAAAAGTTTCAAAGATCATCAACTAAAGAAAAGATATCCCAGCACAGAAGCTGGTGTTTTCCTATGAACGAACATATAACCACCTAAGAATCTTCTTTGCATATAGACATATAACCACCTAAGATTTGACTCTTCTTCTCATATAGTTTAATCAAACTTTTTTAAAAAAAATATTGTTTACCATCAAATGAAAAAAAAAAAAAATATTCAGCAATGCAATAGTAGAGTTTATGGCACCGCCCTCATTTAGTAACAAAAATCTCAATCTATCGTGACAAACCTTAACCAAATCAAGAATCTTTTCTTTTTCTTTTTTTCTCTTTTTTTAATTATTATTATTTTCTTTTTGGACATTTTGTGGATGCTCAAGACTACATAGGTTTTCTAATTCATAAAAATTAAGAGTAACATTCAACAATGGCAACACAGATTAGTAATTTAGCACAATTTGCAAGGTATTATTAACATAGTAGAAGGCTTTGAATTGAATATTGTAGATTTTATAGCGAAAACTTTGTATTGGACCTGTATCAATTATCACACCACATGTAAAACGAACTCTTTTGTTTCTGTTCATATACATAACCAAAATATTCATTTATTAGTTGCATAGGAATCTGGTTTTCTTATAAATGTATATTTTGGTAACACCCACCAAATTATGTCCCTTTGGGAATTGGGACCCAATCATGTGTTTTTCCTAGGTCTATAAAAATCAAATGTAGAACTTTTTTCTTTTTATTTTTTATTTGACTTAACAAGGAAAAAGAGAATTAAAAAACAAAAATAAAAACCAGATAGAAAATAAACACTTTTGATCAGAGATAAATTACAACAAATACTCCCAGTAGAAAAGAAATAGAAAGACATGGCAAAAACTTACCATTATTATTCCCGACTGTGAACATGATGGCAAAAATGTATGCTGCAACGAGGAAATAAGCTCATTAACATGTACAATTATTGAAAGTTTGCAGTAACTAAATATATGCATCTTTTAAGTGTTTCACAAACTCATGAAACGAGTCATATCAATTGTCATCGACTCAGAGACGAACTTTCCTCCATGGCACATTTATGCAAATGCAGCTCAAAATATACACTACATACACAGGCATATATATATATACACACACACATCTCGGCATATTAACTACAATATATATATATATATATATATATATATATATATATATATATATATATATACACTAGTTCCGATTTTAAGCCTCAACAAAAACTTTGTATTGAGATTCAAAATCCAAAAAAATATATCAAAACAAAAATCGACCACGCTAAAATTAGTACTTAGGGCACCCAAGTTTATACAAGAGAATTCCGTAAAGCTAAGGTTAACTACCTCTAAGTATTCAGCGGCGGTGACTGTGCGGTGGCGGTGGTAGTGCAACGGTGGCGATTACGACTATTAGCGGTGGCAATGGCGGCGGCGTCGGCAAACCTTGGCTCCTCTATGAAGTTTCGAGATTATATATAAACTTCTGGCCCATTTTAGGGTCCACTATCAACGTATTCTTTTATGTATACAAATCAAAAAGTTTAATAGCCTACTACTACTAAGCCTAAAAGTCCAAAACTAATTTGGACAGGTCCACGTTACGCTAAAAGTAAACCGTTAATGGATTGGACCGGATTACCGGATTCGATATGAATCTGATTTCTAAAAAGAGTAGTGATAGGTAAGGCGAAAGAGAAAATGCAAAACTTCCGAATCTGATTCGGCTAAAACACGTCATAATTAAAAAAGAATAGTAATAATAGGCAACGCAAAAGAGAAAACGCGAATACTCCTCGAATCTGATTTGGCTAAGCCAGGAAACTAAATACTCTGAGTACTCTCCAATTTAAATTAGATGGAGAGAGGAAAAGAAAATAATCACACCGGAAATTACTTATTCCCATATTCCGTAAATTTAAATTTACAAAGTAAAAATTGATAGAATTATACAAATACAGTATTATCAATACTTTGTATAAACCAAATATTTATTGTTTTAAAATTTATATTAATGAATTTTTAATCTATAATTTATTCATTCCATTAAAGTTTTAGATATTGTATTTGTCTTTTAGAGAAAAAGTAGGGGTCGAGAGTAATTTTACAAAAAAGTGACGTTTTAGGAGCCTCACAAACAAGAAACTAAAAACTCTCCAAAATTGAATGTAGAGAACAAAAGAAAATAATCACAAACCAGAAATTACTTGTTTCCGTGTTCCATAAATTTAAATTTACAAAGTAAAAATTCATAAAATTATACAAATACAGTATTATCAATACTCAGTATAAACCAAATATTTATTGTTTTAAATTTTATATTAAGGAATTTTTAATCTATAATTTATCCATCCTATTAAAGTTCTACATAATATATTTGTCTTTTAGAGAAAAGTAGGGGTCGAGAGTAATTTTACAAAAGGTGGCGCTTGAAGAGAAGTATTGTATATATTCAATTCTGAAGAGTTTTTAGTTTCGTGTTTGTGAGGGCTTTTTCTTCTTTTTTTCTTTCCTTTTTCTATCTTTTCATTTATACCATGTAAGAGGGGGTTCTTTCTTTTTTAATTCTGACGTGGCTTAACCAAATCAGATTCGGAGAGTTTTCTCGTTTGTCTCTTTAGCGTTACCTATCATTACTCGTGTGTATATTGGTCTATAGAAGGGTTTCATACGTGAGAATATTAGAGAGAGGCATTGGGTTACAGAGAGAGGGAACCGTGAGGAATTTTGGAGTCAAGGCGAAGGAAGAACAAGGCCGAATCAATGAGGAGGGAGGAGAGGCTGCTCGTGTGTGTGTAGACCGACCAACAGAGTGTTGGAAACTAGTTATGAAAACTCGTGTTACAAGTGTGAATGAAACTTGTTTGCAACTAATTTATAGTTAGGTGCCTATGTGTATCATGTTATACTACAACGTGAATATCTTAGTGTAAAGGTTGCATGCAAAGTCCAAAATTCGGGTTATTTAACATAACCTCTACCGATTCTTGATCGGCTTGCTAGGTGCCCCAATAATAGAACCACACTAGCTATAGCACGAATTCACGTAAAAAGCGGCTAAGTAGGGGTATCGATCCATGAAGATTGTGAAGCTTATGGCAATCAGATTTCAAAGGTTAAGTTCAAGCTTGATAATGTCACAAGATGGTTCGAAGAGTTGTTTGTTTGCTTGTCACTTAGCTTAAAATTTTAAATAAATTAATTTGAATTCAAGGATTGAAATAACAAATAAAGGAGGCTAGGGATTTGAGTTCACCGAGACCTTATAATCATGCTTTAGTGTAATTAACTTGGGGAAAACAACTACATGTAATGATAAAGTGTAGAAGTATTAACAACTACAACAATTTTTCAGAAATTCATGCAACTCAAGACTAAGAATAACCCATCTGCCGTTGGCCTGGCTCATCCACCTAAACTAGGGTGTGGTATAAGTCATCTTCCCTAGACATGGCCTATCAAGGTCTTGATTTTGTAAGTTTTAGCACATGAAAGCAATTATCTAGCATAAACTATCTTTGATTGGCATGGACCATCTACCTAACTACATTAATCTAAGAGTGTAGCATGGTCCATCTTCCCTTAGCATAATTTATCTTAAGTCATACATAACATGCCTATAATCCTATTTCATGAAATCAATCTTCATTGTCACCATAAAGATATCAAGAGTACAAGTATAAAAACATGGTTTTAAGACAAGAATTGCATGGTAAATATACTTATATATATGAGTTCTGCCCGGATCATACATCAATTTAATGTAATACACAAATTGCATATAAATCCTCATTTTATTCATGAAATCCATTACATACAATATTATTCCTCAAATTAAATTACAAAAATTACATGACTACTTTGATCAAGGCTACCTCAATCTCCTAAGAGGGGATTTAGCTCATCCTGGTGGTGGTTGAAATTCCAATGGTTAAAGAGGAATCCTCAATCTTCAGCTCCGTAGCAGCCACTCTCAAGAACACTCAAGAACCCTAGTTATTCCTTATTTTCTCTCTCTAAAAGCATACAAAATTTGAATTCCAAAATGATATATGATATGTATTACAACATTAAACAAGTGTACATATCCTCCTCAGTCAAAATTAGGTTCGAAACCCCTGAAAACAGTGCATTCAAGTGGAGGAGAGAGAGAAAAGTAACTGATAATTCAAATTCAGCACATTTATTCACAGGTTGGCTTCCGAATGCCAGGACGGGCGTCTAGACGCTGAGTGTCAAGGTGGCTGTCAAGGCACGCACTAGGTGCTAATGGACATGGCTTGTGGCACTTGGCGTCCAGACGCAATTTTGCTCAGTTATTGAAATTTTATTTCTTTGCAACTGCTATTGCTGTCCCAATTTACAAAAAGGCGTTCGAACGCCAAAATTGGTCATGGAGATTGCGTTTGGACGCCAAACCTTATATTCCAAGTTTGACTTCTTCTTTCTTGCTCAACTTTACGGGTTTGACTTTTTTCTTAGGCTGAGTATGCTCTTGGACTTAGGTCCATTTTTTCGGGTTCCATAGCTCACCAAATACCTTATTCATTAAAAACCCTTAAAATCCCACTTTTACGCCATTTTAGAGATAAGCCCTCAAAATAACAAATATATAAGAAAACATGTAAAAAAAAAAAATTTTTTTAACACACTAAATAGACTAAACCATGTAATTAAGGGTGCTTGAATATGTAATATTCAACGCTTATCAATTCTTTACCATATTCTTAATGTTTAACGAGATTAAGGATTGGTTAGAAATGGTTAATAAATTATAAGGATGCATTGAATTACAATACATGTGTGAGTGGGTGCGTTGGTTGAAAAGGTACAATCGAATAAACATAACCTATTGGAGTGAATTTGTCTAGTGGTGAACAGACACCATGTGAACCATTGCAACCAATTGGAGTGGTTGTGTCCGGTGCTGAAGAAGCATATAAATACTTATGTCCAGTAATATAGAGACATATATAAATGGTTGTGTCTAGTAATGAAGAGACACATATAAATGGTTGTGTCCAGTGATGAAGAGACATATATATATGGTTATGTCCAATGATGAAGAGACACGCCCAATTTGAGAAGGCACTTCTATTTCTATAAATACCCCCTTGGGCTGCCATTTGCAATTCGTTCAATTCATTTTTTTCTCTCTCCCTCTCTAGACTTGAACCTAACGCAAGTTGGTTCAAATGATAGGTCAAGTGGTCCGAGCCACTTAGATCCTAATCCAATTTCATCAAGCTATATTAAGATTGGTCTAAACCATTTGGTTCGGATTGCATCCAATTCATCATTTATATATTATAGATGCATTTTTTGAGTCAGATAGAATATTACATTGAGGAGGTTTGTCGTATCCTGAAGTTTGTAGTGTTGCTACTGGTGAATATAGACCGTTGTATCCTGGAAAACAAGCGCCACAGAGTCCGTCAGCACCATGCGGGGCATAAAGTGTCTTAAGGATACAATATCCAATACAAGCCTCAGTCCAGGTTCTTTATTTATTATTTATTATTTTATTATTTTAATTTCCATGTTTAACTAAATATCTAGTTGAATATTTAATTAATTATTTTTAGCATATTATTAATTATCTAATGGCATATTAGTATAAGGTTTGTTATATCTTCAATATCATTTGAAGCATACATTTTCCAACACAGATGAGGACAACAGCAACCAAAGGCTGCCAGTGTTGAGATTTTGGCCGGAGAAAGAGGTGTTTGGGATTTTCAATCTAAAATTTTTAAGACAAGTTCTAAGTTCTACTCCTCTCCTTTGATCTAGTATTCAGTACATGCCTAGGATGGCTTTAGGATGATTAAACAAGATTAATAAACCTATTTGCATGATTGAATCAGGTTAAAATAGAGATTATATATGTGTTTGTATATGTTTACATGATTTATATGATTTTGTGATTTAATTCATCAATTGTTGGTTAATTTTGTTATAAGCATGCCTAATCACTTTAAATAAATTGTTGGCAACGTTTAGGACTTAGAACTGAAGCTTAGGATCCCTAACAACGGAGTTTGGAGGAGTTGCAGAAGCTGAAAAATGGAGAAGATTACCCGCAGCATGAATAAGCCGACTCAGTTGGAACTTAGTTGACTTAGTTACTAAAAGAGCCGACTTCTTTGAAAAGATGCTGACTCAGTTAGAGAATGAGCCGACTCAGTTTGGCCTGTAACTGGATTTGGGATTTAGGTTTTTAGAAGAAGCTGTAACTAATGGATTTAAATGGTCTATATAGATTTAATAAATTCTCAAATGCATAATGTACATTAATATGCTAAGGATTGAGATATAATGGATTTTAAATGACTTATAATGTAATGTCCCAGATTTTTCTGCATTTTTTTGAATTTTTATTTTATTTAGAGAATAAGCCGACTTAGTTTGGCCTCGTTTTGCATGCCATGCAGGCCCGAGGGCCGTTTAGGTCATTTTCTTGAGTCGAGGGTTTTAGAAGTGCTTTTTAATTATTTTAAAGTCAATTA